CACCAAGAAAAGGGTAGAGCCATAGAGGAAATAGCAAATAAAGACCAAACCAATAATATTGCAAACTCAAGCAACAATGTCATAAGCTTTGCATGAAGTCAATCTTGGTCTAGAGATGTAGTTCAGTCTCCACCCTTTACAGAGTAAAATATGCTCCTATAAAAGAGATAAATTCCTAAAAGTCAAAATGACTCCACAAAATTGAGAGAATGGTTATGGAAGTTATGGTATGCATACAATCTCCCTGCACCCTACTCATAATTTCACGGTGGAAAATCAATCAAGGAAGTGACATTTCCAAAGCATTGAGGACAACTTTAATTAGTCACTCCAAGAGAAGTACATTTTATTGACAGAAAACCTCTAGGCTAGATCAAGATGATCTACGCCTAATCATCTAGTTAGAGGCATTTTCTCAAAAAGCTATAGATGCCACACCCTTATAATCTTGTTTCTTCCTGTCCAATATATAGATCTATAAAATCCACTTTAGGCTGCTCTCAAAAATGTCAAAAGTAAAGGCAATGTCCATGTTGATTTCTTATCTAGGCTTCATAAGATCAAGATGATCTCGGCCTGATAAGGTAGATGCTTACACCATGTCAAAAGACTTACATGATGGATCCCAGACCATTAAGATTTAAGAGTTTTTAGGACACCTGATGATCTACCAGTCTACCACCCAACTAGGGATGGCAATTTCAACTAGGGGTGACCCATCATTGACTTGACCTAGTAACCATGAGACAAATTATTTACAGAAACACCGAACCAATTGTGAATGCCAAGTTTTTTTCTAAACATGGAATGCAAATTGCTCTACCCCCTACCCCTTTAGAACAAATCCAAATTATACATTTGCCCACATATTCAAGCTTCGCATACAATTGAAAGGACTTCTTCCATAGTTCAGACCTAAGTATCAAGAGGAATCAATATTCTTGAGTCATGATAAGTACAAGGACCATCTGAGAATTCACTTCACTAGACCAATTCAAATATAGAATTCTCATGCATAATTGCTTATAGCACACCATTGTTCTCTGTAACCCATTGGTGTCATACAGCATTACAGCATTGATCTTGGAGAAGAATACCATGATGCTAAGAAATTCTCTTCCAAGATATATAGCCATATAATCCAACAGCATCACAACCTAAGCCACATCATATTCACACCAAGAGAAGTAATGCAGCTAAGGCTGAGTGCTATAGGAATCTACAGGATACACAGAACCCATGGTCACAAGATACTAAAAACCATCTCTACTCTACGCAGGAACTATCATCATTCACTCCTAGAAGTAAAGATACAGGATCTCTCAGAAAATCACTTAGGAACAAGATACAAAATAGAAAAGCACAAGAAGAGATGGGATTCTCAAGCCTAGGGTCCAAAGCTTCAGGTACACCCTCAGATGAAGAACAGAGGATGAGTTGGGAATGATGCAGTGATTGGATTAATGGAAACATGTCAAGATGCATGGGGAATATGGCAAAAACTTTGGTCACAATAACTGATCACTTCACACCATGTGTCAAACTTTTACTAAAGAATCTTCAAATAATGATAAGGCTTGGCTTTGCTTTATCTACATGAAGAGTTGGTGCCATCTTGACAGGACAACTCATTGTTTTATGTCATTGGTGTACATTGTTTGAGTCTATATTAATAGAGTACACTGTTCACTTTTCTAGAGCCTTCCATCTCATCTATTTAAGAGATGTTATGTGTTAGTTTGAATGCAGAACTAGTCTCAATTAATAATGCTTGTGTGTTACATATCCATATCTTTCTAAGCTTCTCTGATTCCTCTTCAATCATATACCCCTTAAATTGGCTTTAGGATAGGTGACAGTAGGTGACAAATAGAACACCACATGAACCCAAGCTAAATAGCTAATAGACAAAGATGAGATATCTAGGGATGAACTCATCAAGCTTCACCTTACCACTTGGGTAGCTAAGTATGAGAAGCTCCACCAGAACCATCAACTCATTGAAAAACTTATTTAAAGCAAAAAAGTGCACCAACATAGCTGCACGTTGCTTTAAAGTGCAAAGCAAAGCATTGCTTTAAACAAAAACAAAATTACAAAAAGCAACACTAAATGGCAAAAATCAATCAAACCTTATAATTCAAAATGATATGTAAATGATTTATAAAGTAATCTCTAAGACAATATATATCATATTTATCATTTGATAATAATAAGTCATTTTTTCACTTGTAATATTAAATTAGTCGTCAATTATTAATACCCATAATCCTCAAATAAAGCAATTTCAATTTCTTCATCAAACAAATGATTAAAATATATTAAATCAACATATTGATGATTTGAATTAATTAATTACAGTAAAAAATTACAATTCTCAAACTCACTATCCTGAGGGGTTTTTGACAAAAATAGGCGTGGATGTTGGACGAAAATAGATAGATTTTGGAACTTGAACAGAAATAGGAAAATTACTTTCCCAAATGCGTTGTAGTTAATTATTTCCCTTGAAACGCATTTCCCAAATGCGTTGTAGTTAATTATTTCCCCTGAAACGCATTTACCAAATGCATTTTGGCCTAATCTTTATTTTTCACCACCACTGAAAAATTTTATGAAACGCATTTTGGAAATGCAATTTAGGAAAAATTTCAACAACTATCTCTTAAAGTAACTCTCAATTGGAGAGAGACGACAATCAACAACACCCCAAAACAGAAAACCCCCAATTTGCAAATTGGGATGAACGTGTTAGACGACAATAATAAAGAGAAGAAAATGCAATCGAATCAGGTTTGCCAAGGAAGGAAAAGAGTGTTGGAATGTGCCAAAAAATGAAAAAGAAAAAAGTTGAGGATGATTATGAAAGGGCATACAAAGGAGTAGCATACATGTCCCTAGTGTGATTGGCTGCGATCAGTTGAGTTGTGGAGACCATTGGAGGTGCGAGATTGAGAGATTGTAGCAGTAAATATTAAAGCTCTAATTTTTGTTCCATTCACCATTTAACTTTCCTGCTATGTGCAAAAGCACACTTAGGGCAGCACTTTTGCATTAATAGCCACTTTGATATGATTCCCTAAATTGTGCACTTCGCCAAAGCAAATCGGTGCCTCTTCGATCACAATCACTTTTGACAAGTGTGCTTTGACGTGTGCATTGTGTTAAGTCTGGTGCTACGTGGGTTGGCAAAGAACAAATATTACTCTGAATGTGAGGAAAACTAGAGAAGAATAGTACATACACCATATAAAGGAAAGGGCACATTTGTCATGTGAAAAAAACACGCATTCCACTTGAGTGCACCTTTACGTATTTTCCATGTTTCTTTTTAGTGCAATAAGACAGAAAAGGGCAATAATTAGGATCCTTTTGCACATTTTAAATTAAGAAATTCCAACCAAATATAGACAAGTGACCAACTAGATAAAGTATAGGCATCCTTAATAGCATAAAGATGGGAGAAATTTTCCAAATTAAAAAAATAAAAAATAAAAATAAAAATAAAAACTAATTTACATGAAATGTGAACTACAAAAGAAAAGGTGATTAATAGAAGTTGGAATCTAATCATAACATGGTAGAGATTAACTTACTACTAAAAAAACCTATGAAATGCAAAAAAAGGGACCTCTATCTCTCAATGTAACTCTATCGGAAGGCAACAAATAACAATCAACAACACCCGAAAAAAAGAAAACCTACAATTTGGAGCTGAGTTGATCATGTTGGGCAATGAGAATAGAGGGAAGAAGAGGCAATCGAATCAATTTGCCAAGGAAGAAAGAAAAGTTTGGAGGATGCCTTTCAAAAAACAATGAGGACAAAAGGGTATCCAGAGGAACTACACGTCTCTGGCATGATTGGCTGCAACCTGTTCAGTTGTGGAGGCCACTGGAGGTGCAAGAGTGAAAGGCTGTACCAGTAAATTCAATTAAAACTCTGAACTTTTGTTCCATTGACCAATCCACATCACTCACTGGTTCACCGCATCGGTTCACTTTCTAACATTTGTGCACTTTGCCAAAGCACAGTAGTCCTCCTTCGATTACAACTACTTTTGACGTGTGCATTGTGTTAAGTGTGGTGATAAGAGGGTTGGCAAAGAGCAAATATTAAAGTTAATGTGAAGAATAAGTACACCATTATAAGGAAAGGGCACATACTTCATGTGCTGAAAACATCCATTTCACTAGAGTGCACCTTTATGCTGGGTTAACAAATACACTTAAACATATTTAGGATCCTTTTGCACTTTTTATTAAGAAAAGTGCAACCACATATAGACAAGTGGCACACTGGAAAAAAAAAAAAAAGTATAGGTATCTAAAATAGTATAAAGATAGGAGAAATTTTCTAAATCAAAAAAAGCCTAATTTACATGAAATGTGAACTACAAAAGAAGAGATGATTAAAAGAAATGGGAATCTACTCATAACATGGTAGAGAATAAATGTTGACACAAAGACAACCATTTCTGAAAGATAGGCACGCACACGTACTCCACGCAGTAACAAGGATCTAGCACTTTATATCCTTAATCAGGCACATAGAGGGAGAATACCTGTGAGTTTCCATAACTCATTCCTTGAGTGAATGAGCCTTGATGTGCAAGCTGTAGTAAGATACATAAAGACCATAATTCATTAAGACACTGTTGCATCTTTTTAAGTTAAACAAATGAACAATTGAATAGCAATATATTGAAGTACGGAAATACCTGCATATTAGGATTAGGATGCATCCCATCTCTTTTACCTGGACCATCAGCGGCCTTTGCCGACCCCTTTGTATCACCCTATAAAATAAATTAGTTAGGCAAAAGAACATAGCCAATATATATCACTTTGGAAAGCACATTGGCTTACCTCCATCTGCAAAAGCCATTGATCCAAAATTGAAAAAGAAACAAAAAAAATAAAATAAAAATCCATCAGTTCCACAACATGAACATCCAGACTATGAGAACCAACATAAGATGAAGAGACAATGATAAGTACCTCCCTGTAACGGGTGAGGTACACCTTCAGGGGGTCAAGATAATCTTCAAACCCTAAAGTAGCCATTGCCCATAGCAGATCATCTCCATTAATTGTCTTCCTTTTTTCTCTCTGGCACTTGTCACTTGCCCTTGTTAACAACCAGAAAATCTTCTCAGAATTGCAATCAAACATAACAAAACACATATCAAAATATGTGTACTTATAAAATGCCACATAAGGAAGCTCTTGCATATGCAGAAAAATTCAATGTTTTTACACACACACACACACACACACACACAAAAAATCAAGGATAGAACCATATATACACAGCAAATATTACTAATTAGTGCAGCCTAGTAGCAGGAAGTAACAAAAGAATATATTTATTCAACTGTGTATATTCAATATAAAGCTAATGACTTGGGGACAGACAGACAGAAAGCTGTAAAACACGAAAAGTTTATCATGATCTAGGAGCATTTGATGACATAGAAAGGGAGAAAACATCTCTCGCAGATATAATCAGATCATACAGCAGTAAAGCAAATAGATTATCTCAAACAGTTCACTCCCTCTAATCAATCCAAAAAAATAAAGCATACTCGCTGGTGATGAAGCTGATGAACTCGGAGACGCATTCCTGAACAGTCTCCTTAGCATCCTTAGCAATTTTACCGTTGGGCGGGAGAGCCTTCTTCATGATCCGACTGATATTCGCGATGGGGAGAAACCTATCCTGCTCCCTAACATTCGACCTAGGGCTCTGCTCCCCGCTCTCGTGACTGCCGCCACCGGGACTCTGCGGATGCTGCGACGATGCCTGACCGTCCGACATAGCAGCAGCAGCAGCAGAAAAACCCTAACCACGCCACAAACAAAACATCAAGCAAACAGTTCATTTTTTAAGCAGGATCGAAAATCCAATCCAATAAATCTGTAAAAATCGATGAACAGATTAATCGAGAATTTTGTGCATAGATTATGTAGAGATAGTGATAGCAATAGAGAGTGTAGAAGAAATGAGAGATATGAAAGAGAACCTGAGAAACAGAGTATTTGTATTTGGGCGGGGGTGAAGGAGAGAAGAGGGGAGGGGAGATCGGACGCTGGAGAAGAGGGGAGAGAGGAGACGACTGAGATGAGAGATTGGGGTTGGGGTTAGGTTTATCAACACCGTTGGTTCTCTTCCTCTCTTTTTCTTTTTCTTTTTGTTTTTTTAATTTTTAATTCTCAATATTATAATGTATTACCAAACCACACTGGAGAGTGGAATCCCTCTTTCTCCGTTCTGAGCGCTCAGTTTAGATAGAACCGTTCCATCTGATTAGGCCACGTGTAGGTGGCGGCGTTCACACGGTGGCTGTTGCTGCCCAGCTCGCAACTTTGTACGAGGTCGTTTGGGTTTTGTTGTTCTTTATTCGTACTTTATGGATTATTTTTAATATTCGCTTCACTATTCCGCAACACAACATTAAAATTAGGGGTGTCTTCACAAGTAGATGGTGAGATCCACATATTAATTTCTTTCACCTTAGGCTATGTTTGAAAATTTGAAAAATAATTTTTAAAAATTATTTTTTAAGTTTTAAGTATTTGGTAAAAGGAAAAAAATTAACATTACATAAAAATAACTTTTGGTCAAAAAATTGGTTATGTTTTTCTGGAAAATAACTTCCCCTTATTGTTGAGAAGTTATTTTTCAGATCCACAAACTTGTGCAGCGGCCTTCATCGTCTTCTTATTCTCGCAGAGAAAGTTGTGGCTTCTTCATCTTATTGTCGCCGTCTTTCTTTTCTCCATTGTCTTTCCTATCGTCACTGCCACTACTACGGCCACGGATATCCACCAAGATATTTTTCCATCTATTTTTTTTTTTTTACCTCTGGTGGCGAATTTGGCGGACCTCAGCCACTAGAGAGAGTTTTTCGGCTGTGGGGACTAAGACCCACAGTCGAAAACATGAGAAAAAAAGTCTGGTTTTTGCATCAGAACCCAGTGTTATTTATTTGATTTGTTATATATAAATACTAACACTTATTTTGCTAAATAATCCACTAGTCTAGTTCCTTTTTGTTGGTCTTGAAAGATGTGAAAGTCTATGGGGGGTGAATAAACTTTCAAAATTTCTTGTTTTACTATATTAAATATGATTTTTAAAAATCAAGAGTATAATGCGCGGCGGAATAATTTAACTTGTTGTAGCGTTGTTTGGACGTAAATATTTGAAAGTGCACAATGTGTGATCAGTTGATCTTGTTCACAAATAAAGCGTAAAAATGTAATGTAAAACAATAAAATGCAAGAGAGATTTTTAAGTGGTTCAGCAACTCTACTTACATCCACTCTTCTCCTTAAACTTCAAAGAGGTTTTCACTAAGTATTTTGGCCTCAAATACAAAGTGATCCAACCACAAATCATCCACCAAGTAATGTGATTGAGTATGGTGTGCATTCACCTTGGATATCCCCACCAAATATTCAACACCTAATCTCCACTTCAAGGATTGTCAATCCTAAAGTCATATAATAATTTTGAAAAATAATAATTAAAATAAATTTTTTTATATATAATTTGATATTATGACATCATATTTATGGGAAACTTGGAAGTAACCTGTAAAAAAATAATATTTGCACAATTTTTGAATGTTTAATGTCTAATTGCACACTTTTTGTTTGATAATTTAATTGCACAATGTATAAAAGTTCAGTGGCCTATTTGACACTTTTTCATACTCAAAATACTCAAATAGTAATGCAAAATAACATAAATAGAAACTCCTAAAGTCACAATATCATAATAATACAAAGTTTATTCATCAAAATAAAGTTCTGCCAAGCGTCCAACCAAGAGTAAGTCTCCAAGTCTCAAACTCTATTTAACATTTCAATCGTCTTCTTCAACTCTTCAACGTGAGAAGAGAAAAAATGAAAAAAAAAAAAGAAAAAAGTGAGAAGCAGTGATTTACCTCGGGCTCGATTTTGTGAGCTCGACCTAAGCAGGAGGCAAGCGAGGCAGCGACGACGCAGGCGAGGAAGGTCAACGACAACGATGACTTGCGGTGAGGGTGAGGTAGTGAGCAGAAGCGCAAAGCAGAGGGCTTCTAGAAGTTGAAATGAGGTGAGATAGAAGGATTTCGTGAATCGTCCATTTTTTGTTTTGTTTGTGTTTTTTTTTTACCATTGACTTACGTTTCGCGTGGAAAAGCTCGCTTTTTTGCCACTTCATCGCTTCGTTGCCTCATCAGAGAAGCGCACTGGCGTGCACTTTCTCACATTGATGTGTCTTGCCCAGGCGTCACTTTTAACAAGTTTGTGAGAAATCATTAAAAGTAAAAGCCATGCCCTTCTACTTTGTCCCACATTGGTTTCAAAATTGTTTACCTTTGTCAAGCTTTTAAAACCCAACTCCCTTGAGGATTCTTGAAAAGAAAATAAGGGGGAACCACGCGCCGTCGTCACCGCTCGATTCGATTCGCGTGCAAGGTGTAGTGTGACAACTTTTCATTGCTACTTAAAACGACACATAAATCCTTCTTCTTTTGTTCTTTTCGTCCCTCCTAAACCAGCCTACATTAAAATTGTTCATTGTTCAATGAAAAAACTCAACAACATGCACCACCACCTCGCCCCAAGCGTAAAGTTGCTCACCTTTATCCCAAATTGCACCCCAAAATGGTGTGCAGTTAATTTCACACGCCTCACTATTTATGAATTTTCAATATCCTTTTGTGTGAACACTTGGGCAATTTTAGCTCCGATGGAAGCTTCTATAGCTTATCCTTCTTCGGTGGATGCTCTTGCACTTCCAAGCTTGTGAATGCTGGCTGCTTCACCCACTGGGTTTAATTTATGCCATCACAAGATGAATTCTATATATATGCATGCTAAGAATTTGTGTTATTTCTTGACATGATCTCTGACACTATTCATCATTGAAGGGATTTTGTTCATAATTTATGCCATCACAAAATGTTGCTTAAAATAAAAAATGATTTTTTTTTTTTTGTAGAGTATTCTTAAAATGTCAATAATTTTTATGAGTATTCTTAAAATATTTTATATAAGCAAATATCATATATTGTATCAAGCAAATCTTATATGTTCACTAATAAGGCAAATGCTATATATATATATATAGGTGTGAATAATAATGTCAATACATAATTTTTAAATCATAATTGAAATTTGTGAGAATAAAGCAAAATGTTATATAAAAAATAAGTTTTATTTTTAATTGCTCAATATAACATAATTCTATATATTTTAATGGGGTCAATTTTAATTTTTTTTAAAAATATATACAAATAGGTAACAAGAAACAAAATAATAATAACGTTAATTTACCCGCTAAAAATAACATAACTCTACCTCTAGTCTACCGAACTCTCCTTCAATAGAAATGCATATTTATTACTAGTAATGTTGTTCTGTGCGTGGTTTAAAAGAAAACGCAGATAAATAGGAAAAAAATGCTTACGCAAGTTGAAATCAAAGGCAGATAAATAGGAAAAAAGATGCATAGGCAAGTTGAAATCAAAGGGAACAATCTGGGCATGGATCTCCCAACACTGGTTGAATCCGTTTCTGAAACCGTCATATAAAGTATTTGTATACATATATATAACACTTAGTCATTGGGTTAAAAGTAAAAAAAAAAAAAAGCATTTAGTATTCGGATTACCTGCAAGTCATTATTGTTACAAAAAAAAAAAAAAATCAAAATCAACAACAAAAACACACAGTACATAGTAGTCGGACTACCTGCAGAGTCGTTACTGTTACCATCAAGTAAACAAGTTATGGAACTAGAACATGAGGTATACTCATGAACCTTCTACAAATATAATAAATATTAATATTTTGTTCAATAGTTTTATATGAAAATATATGACACACATTTCACAACACATGAAACATGTATGGGGAAAAAACTGCAACTGCAATGAAGAGACCGGTTAAAACCAATTAAACCAATTGAAACCGGAAAAATAACAAAAGATAAATATGAAGAGACAAAAATGTCCTTACTAAAAATAGAAAAAGTAATGAAAAGGACTAAAAATGTCCAAAAAACGATAGTCTAGGATGTAAAATGGCAAAAACGATAGTCTGAGACTAAATTTGGAATTGCCACCAAAGACAAGGGACCTCCGGTGGAATTAACTCTTGATAATAATATGTAAATGTTAATTATATAATTATCTTAGGTAGTTCCATTTAAAACTCATTTTTAAAACTGTCAATAATGTAGGATAATAGAACATCGTAATGCACTTGATGCATTGAAATGATGTCAAGACTACAACAATGCTAAAATCAATTTGGCAAACCTAGAAAATGAAGAAATTTCAAAACAGCCACCGTTGATTCATTCATTGATCTTGTATATAAAATACTTATTGTGCATTCATTAAATATATTAGAACTAATATAAATTTACAATTCATTTAATCTTCTAGACTCAACTTGCTTAGATTACAGACAAAATCAGCATCAACATTCACAACAAAAATACTTTGGTATATAAGATGTAGTCACTATTTAAAACAAGTTTATGCACAAACTGGAAAAAAAAAATTAACTCCAAGGTTAGTATCAATTCAATACAAAAATAAAAAATAAAATTAAACAATTAAAAACAAAAGCGCACACACATAAAATCAAAGTACTACACTCATTCCTACTAATTCTAAAAATATGAACTTGAAAATGAACAAGAGTGTCAAATGGATGTGAAAATTATTGATGAAACTGGACACATTGCAGCATCAGTATTCAGACTACCTGCAGAGTTATTGTTGTTACTATAAGTAAACAAGTTATGAAAATAGAACAACAAGTACTACTCATGAACCTTATACAAATATAATAAATATTAATATTTTATTCAATACTTCCCAATGAAACATGCTGGGGAAAAAACTATCACTACAAAACATCAACAGACGCTTGCAAGATCATGAGTTCATAGTACAACTAAGATCTCAATCATATACACAACAAGGAAAATCCACAGCTTCCTACACTATAATCTCATTGCATGACGCTGTCATCTATGCTACCAATAGTAATCTAATTGCAAATAACACAATACAACAAAAAAGAAGAGGACAAATAGTGAAGACGAAGATAATGATGACAATGCTACTCAAAAGAGAATTAAGAATAGTTAGAGAAATTCAAATCAAAAGTAATATTTATTTAGGCTATTATTTTTTGACTAAGTATTTAGACTATCGATTTTACAAATTAAAGTTGCAAACATTATAATGAATCTCTTATATTATCTTGCAT